TGAAAACGGAAAAAATTAGGAGTACCCTTAAGCGACGAGCATGTATGCGTAGGTGTATGGATGTGAAGGAGGCGAGAGAGGTGTGTCAGGATAGTGCCAAATGGAAGCTGTAGTCTCTGCCTACCCCTCTGGGTGACAGGCGTGAGTATTTATGTATGTATGTAAGTTATATAATACTTAGCTAGCCCATCTTTGCCATATAGATAGTTATTTTCTTAGATTCAATACAATCACCTCAATCTATTATTTCATAATAGAGAAGTTATGATTACTTTGTTCCAGGTTATGTCAAATGCTAATTTAGAGAGCATACTAAACTCAATGCAATGCAAAAGCAAGATCTGCTTGAGGATGTAGTATAAGGAGATGATGAAAATGTACCAGTCACACAATTAGTAAATAACTCCCTAAGAGGAAATTCTGTTCAGGCAGCATTTATTAACGATTTTTTTTAAATAAATATACAATAATTACATGTACAATTTTTTTTATTTATCCCCAAAAACAGAACAAAAATGGTTATTTAATTAATTTTGCACTTCACGCTCTTTTCTTAATTCTAAAATTTCATTGCAAATAATATTAAAAATGATTATATTTAGAACTTAGTTTTTCCACCGAGTCCGAAAACAACACGAGGAACAAGGAACAACACGTAACACGTATCTCTTGTCAAACTCAAAGTATTGCCTCTCACTGTCATTAATGTCATCATAAAGCAGAGTTCATTCACCAATCATTGGGTGCGTTTGGCAGAAAAAAGCGCCAGCAAGCGCTTGTAAGCAAAATGGCGATCGTAAGCGGTAAGCGCTGTCAAATCGTAAGTAGCTATTTTCCTCCAGGACACGATGTTAGTTTTAACCGGGGAACCTAACCTAATTTAAATATATGTTTGTAAAGTATTCATATTAAAAACTTACCAATCATCAATTTTTAATAACATGTATATGTTTATTCACGTTATTATATTACTTAAAACTAATATTGCACAAAACAACTTAAAAACTCTATTTCAAAACAAACAAATTAAATAAGCAAAATGGCGGATTGTGTCAGCGCTACTGAAGTAGTATCGTGTCCTGGCCGAAAACTATTTCAGCGCTTGTAAGCGCTTGCTAGCGCTTTTTTCTGCCAAACGCACCCATTCAGTGACTTACTCTTTTTACTTTTAAAATAAGTGGGTTGCCATTGCGCAAGCGTTAATCCCGGCGTAAGTAATGTATTGTTAGTCCGAGGTTACTCCATGTTTATTAATAACATTGTAATAACGAAGTAAATAGTCAGTTACTCTGAGATTAACTAGTCCTTCGAACTTCGAATTAAGTTTGGAATAAGCAATTTTATTAATAAGGCAGATAGACTACTAGCTTTCTAAGCGGACGTTGTTCTGCCCTTTTCGACGACCCTTTGTCATGTTCTATTAAAAATCCTTAAATTCGCAAAAAAAAGCGCTACAACAGCGCCGCTACATCACCCCCCTGCTCAGACCGGAGGTTGTCGACGAATGTGCAAGTGCCAGGAGATTGCCTTGTAGTCTGCGGTGAGTCGAGAAGAAGGCAAGCAATCTGCGAGAGTGCCGTGACGCAGAGGCGAGCAGTAAGGCTCAGAGCCGTGCCGAACACTGTATGGCGCAAAGAGTAGCTTGAAGGAACAGGAAGCATTATTATTCCAGTGCTGCGATGAACCTTGTGAAGATATCTGCTCGGGAGCGCATGGATGGGGTATTCTATGACGATGATGAAGCTTGAAGTTTCCGAAGGTTGTTTGGTTGCGTGTTCAGATCACGTCGGGGTCACCACCGTGGTCGTGGAAGGAAAAGCGGAGATCTCCCGCCGGGCAAGGTGTTCTGCCCGGGGAGTGGCCAACACTCCATGAAATACTTCGGAGATGTTCTATGTATACTGTTTATGATTCGGAATTTTGATAGCGTGATTTAGGCTTCAGTATGTTTCGTTTGTGGCGCGACGACAGCGCCGCTACAACACAAAGAAACCCCAAACATAGCCCTCTCCATAGCTCGCTGAGCGACCTTGAGCGTCCTCATACGGCCAGCAGTGATGGACCGTCACGTCTCAGGTCCATAAGTCAACACTGGCAACACGTACTGGTTGTACAGGTTTTGAGGTATATGAGGAGAAGATATGTCGTAATTTCCTGAACGCTACCCAGCCGAGTAGAATCCGTCGACTGACCTCGCGGTCGAAGTTGGACTTACCTAGTCGGACTATTAGTAAACGTACTCGTCAACAACTTCGAACTTAGTGCTACCAACAACTCCCACCGGCACAGGTGTGACATGGACATTAAACGTAATCTTTGTTTTGTTCATCGCCTGGGTGTAATAATAATAAGGGTAGAGAGGAATTAAGGTATAGTTACAATAATTACAAATAAGTAGATTTACAGAGTACAAAACGTGTGAGGCTTCGCGCAGGTACAGGTTCATCCAATATTGGGCTTCATGTTTTAGTATAATAAACAAATTATCTATAATGCAAGAGCTGTGGAATTTGTGAATTAAAGAATAAATCCTATACCTTTAAACGAGCAATTTTTGTATACATACATATATATATATATATATATATATATATATCATCGGAATCTCGGAAACGGCTCCAACGATTTTCATAAAATTTAGTGTCCAGGGAGTTTCTGGGGCAATAAACCGATTTAGCTAGGATTTATTTTTAGAAAATGTTTTTTGTCCGTGTTTTCAAGCAATGAAAAACTGCTACAATATAAGAAGGTAAATTTTGATTCTATGTCTTCGGTATAAGTCTTCGGTCCGAATTTTTTCCTTTTCTTTCAAGTTCTAGAAGAAAATCTATTATTTCGAGCCCTTTTTTTAGTATAAAAATACGAAAATTTTAATTAAACTAATTGCATAAATTTACTTAATTAAAACCGAGCAATGCTCGGTCATACAGGTACTAAAAAATAATACAATTTTTATTTGAATTATACAGAACCTGCTTTGTAATATTGCGTAAGCGAAAAAAAACCGCTGGTTTTCTTGCTGATCCATTCCAAGATATAGGTTTTTTCCGAACCACTGCTAAAATTAAAAAAAAAACTTTCATTTAATTCAGTTTCCCCATTCTAATTCAACCTACCACCTATAGCTTTATCTGTATATATATATATATCTTAAAAGTATGTTATAAAAAAGAAGCAAGACATATATTAGTATACAAAATGTTATTAAAAAAAACAATAACTATAAACTCGAATGTAGGTACAGGAGCAGAAGCGCGCGAACCTGAGCAGCAATATTTGCTTTTTTTATTTGCAACTTTACAGCCGCCATTATTATTGGATCGCACTTGAAATTGATATTTAAAGTAGAATCAGAATAACCGACATAACCAATTGGGGTAAGTTAAAGTAGAAACAATCTAACTTACTAGTAATACAATCGCCGAGGAGGACAATGCCTTAAAAGTAATTTCAAAAAAATAATGTCCTTCAGACCGAATTCCAGTTACGGCTGCCTTTTTCCTGAAAGACTAACCATGTACGCAGAACAGAATTATAGTGCCCCAATGTACGTGCAAGCATAGCTGCACTCTATTACCTTACTCTTATAATCTTATGGGACGGCAAACCGCGACAGGAGAAAGTTCGGATGCAGGAACAACGTGCACGAAACAATAACACTGCGGGCGGCCTGAGGGCATCACGTACTGTCTTCGATATGTGCTTCAAACGAAGCATAGCGATGGAGGTGCCTCGGTTGCGTTCCGAAAGGCGATCCCAGGACTCTACGTCTATTCTGACGGTGACCGTGGGGTTTTAGATGCCCATCATATCGAAAAGTATCCAAGAGGATTTCCGCACTTTAAAAAAAGCAAAAAAAAAAGGTCTTTTTTTATACGTCCAAATTAACAACTTTAATACACTTTTTAATTACATCAATGTTTTTTTTTAATAGAATAAGGGTGACAAACGAGCACACAGTCCACCTGATGGTAAGTGGATGCTGTGGCCCACAGACATTTACATTTATCCTCGATTAAGAACCAAAACGCAGATGCGTTGTCTCCCCTGAGAACTAAGATGGAATGCCTAATTTCCAATAAAAAAGGGTCTCCGGATCTCTACACTCACCACACGAAACACAACAGTGTTAAGTTGCTATTTTACGCTGGTATTCTGTGAGAACGTGGTCCTTTACCCGGTCGAGCCGACCCATTAGTACTACATAATAGTGATGTAACGGATATTCGCATTCGCATTCGCGAATATCCGCATATTTTTCAATATTCGCATTCGCATTCGCATTCGCAAAAATTATGCTAATATTTAGCGAATGTTTTTAATAATCAAAAAGTAAATTATTATATGCATGCATATGAAATAATAATACAATAGATAACACTTAGATATTTTTATTAAATCGTACTTCTACATTCTAAATTAAAGTCTCATTTGATAAATAACATAAAACTAACCTCAAAACAAAACAAAACTTTTAGAATGAACTTTCTGTGACTAAATTCATTCAATTAACCAATATCGGCTCGGCTATCTTCAATTTGAACATGGCCGACACGAAATGTCAAACCTGTCAAACATTTTACGCGCGCTTTTTTTGAAATTCCGAAATATTCTCATTCGCATTCGCATTCGCGAATGTTGAAGATAAATATTCGCAATCGCATTCGCATTCGCGAATGTGAAAAATCCAACATTCGTTACATCACTACTACATAATATAGCTGCAAGGTGGCTCTACCACGTATAGAAATAACACGGTTATAAACGACCACCAACGGGACGAACGCAGTATAAGGCAGGCAACACCTCAGTCCCGGCCTACTTACTAGAATAACGCCCGCTGTAATGAGACTTCCACTGTCCAGTCAGTGGATGCAAGTGGGTTTTAGTGCTCTGTGGCAATTTTAAGAGGCTTTATGTAATACATACAAAACACAAAACATACTGAAGTAGGAATGTTAGAGCTAGCATCTAGGTATTTAAACGTAACGTGATCTTACCTTATGATGTATTCCGTGAATGAGAAAGTGAAGCTTGATCATCGTGAGCGATGAGCCCGGGTCAAAATGAAAAACCCATCTGTGCAAGGAATATTCGAGAGCACTCCAAATGAATGCGCCAAACAGCATGTGCTGCAAATACTGGAGGACGCTGAGACTATCTTCCGTACACGTGTCTGGGAAAAATCAGTGTTCTGTTGTTTGTATTTTATTATATATTAGTTGTAACTAGTTATACACGCACAATAAGATAAGAATTATTTTACTTGTGTTACATCTGTACCATGTTTTGGCGGTGTAAGAATACCCACTACTCCATATCATATCATCCCGTGGGTGTCGAAAGAGGCGAGAGATCGGAACTAAAACAGAAGGCAGCAGCATCTTCCTAATAACAACTGAATAAAAAAGAAACTGTGGTTGCTCGCCTGCCAAGCGTGGCAACTATTGCAGAATCTTCCCCGAAGCGATCTATGGTGGAGGCCTTTGTTCAGCAGTGGATTTATATAGATGATAGATGGATAGTGTGTTAGTGTGACATCTGTAAAACTTTTCTACTTTACTTCTCTTAATTTAAATATAATTAGCCTTCGATCAATTATAGTATTAATATTGATCGAAGATAATGATTTCTTATATTTACGCGAACACTACACATTGAAATAATACTAGTTTTTACGGAATTTATCGCGTATATTTTAACTTTTTAAATACCCGACGTTTCGAACGCTTTACAGCACTCATGGTCACGGGCAGGACTGAGATGTTCAACGTCCATATGTCATAGTTAACCGCGGTTACCATAGATTAAAATTTAAGATTAAGATCGGAACAAAAGTAAAATTTTAATCTATGGTAACCGCGGTTAACTATGACATATGGACGTTGAACATCTCAGTCCTGCCCGTGACCATGAGTGCTGTAAAGCGTTCGAAACGTCGGGTATTTAAAAAGTTAAAATATACGCGATAAATTCCGTAAAAACTAGTATTGATCGAAGATATTAGCGCATATTTTTTTTCGCCTTCGATCAATTATAGTATTAATATTGATCGAAGATATTAGCGCATATTTTTTTTTATAGAATAAGGGTGACAAACTAGCAATCAGTCCATCAGATGGTGGTGGACTGAAGTGGATGCTGTGACCCGTAGTCATTATCTACATTTATCCTCGATTAAGAATCAAAACGCAGATGCGTGGTCACCCCTGAGAACTAAGATGGAGTACCTCGTTTCACGTACATTAACTCGTTTCATACGAAACACAGCAGTATTAAGCTGCTATTTTACGCTGGTATTCTGTGAGAGCGTGGTTCTTCGCCGGTCAAGTCGATCTATTCTTGCTACAACCATGATGTAGCCGCAGCGTGGCTCCACCACGTATAAACTTTATTCTATGGGTTTAGGCATTCACTTTCTATTAGCCGGGTTGTGTGTTCGTTTATCACCATGCATTAAAAAATTTACATGAAGATGGACCCCATCTTTTGTTGATTTAACTTTTTTGTAATTCATGTGTAAAAAATTAGTTCGGTACAACTCGGTCTGCCTTTATTATATACACTTCCCATTCAGTAACCAACAGTTTATCTTATGGTAGGTGGACGCCACGGCCCACCTGCATCTTCCATTGAGAATGCATATGCAATTATTATTATTATTATGTACATACAGGGTCATAGTAGCTCAGGGGCTAGGCGCTCGCTGTAAATTTCACAGTGCGCGGCGAACCCGGGTTCGATCGAAATTGTTAATTCCAATTTTAAATGCTGATTTATCACGTGCTCGGCAATGAAGGAAAACATCGTGAGGGAACCTGCATGTCTGAGAAATTAAAAAAAATATATCGAAGACATGTGAAGTTCGCCAACACGCATTGTGGCAGCGCGGCGGATACTTCCTTGCCCCAAAATCCTCTCAGAAGTGAGGCCCGTGCCCAGCAGTGGGACGTACATAGGCTCTAACTTTACTTTACGCAAATGTATATATGAGAACGTAGATGCATTGTCAACCCTAAAGTCTAGTATGGAACACCTTGTTACCAGTAAAAAAAAGTATCTAATGAGTATAACCAGTGATTATAAAAATAAAGGTGTCAACACCCCGGGACAGTATTACGCTACGCTACTAGAAAAATTAAAAGATGCGATCAAAGAAGAAAGAAGGGGAAAGTGGATTTGAGGTTTCCTCCTTTTGCACGGCAACGCAGCCGTTCACAAGGGTCATGTTGCGATAGCTTCCTTACATTTATCTTTAGTCCAGATTAGACCTCTTTGGATAGTTATTTGTTTCCTAATATGAAAAAAGAACTTCGTGGAAAGAAATTTACAGATGGCTAAGAAGAATTCGGCAATTTCTCTCTATTTTGAGTCTTGACAAAACATTTTTTTTTCGAAGAAGGAAAATTAATTTCATGGTGAGTTACCTTTCCTTTTCCTTCCGTGAACTTTTTGACCTCCCCGCATAAGAACCGCGTATGTATTAGAATTTAGCGCAATATTTGTCAAAAGACCTATAAAATAATAATTGTTTCTGATCTGGATGTTTGTTCGTGTGCAATTTATGTAAAGCTCCTCCAAGATACAGGTGAAAGTCCCGGCGTGGAGGTAACATTTAGAAAAAAAACAAATATTTTAATATTAAACTCACCTCCACATGCTACGTATTCGAAGTATTGTGAAACAGCAAGATAAATTATAATGGGTATCCAAAACATGGGCACCAAATACCATGGTGTGTATGTCATACTCTCCAGAAGCGGGCTGGAGAACAACTGACACTTCCTGTACACCGCGCTGTTCACCCACTTTTCGTAGTGCGGCGCGATGGCTCCAAGTTGATTGAGAAGTGGCTTCGACCAGTTCAACCTGCCCTGAAAATAAGGACCTCAACTGAAGCTAGCATATACTTGGAATTACTAAAATCTTGAGGTATCATTTTATTTGTTACTTAGTCATAAATATTTAAAGAAAATTATAAGGTTATAAAATTATTTTTAAATTTAGTGATGTTATTTTACGTGGCAACATCTTATTCCGGAATATAAGTCAAAGCGCCCTAAAAGTCATTCGTTTTTAACACGAATTTATTAGCTTATCCTGTATCTATATTGTACTAGGCAGACGTTGTTCTGCCGTTTTCGACGACAATTTGTCGAAAAAAAAATTGTGGGCAAAAAAACTATCCTATCTCTCAAGTTCGACCAAACTGCACACGGTGCGCAAATTTGATTAAAATCGGTTTAGTAGTTTAGGAGTCCATCGCGTACAAACAACGTGACACGTAATTTAAATATATTAAGATACATACTAAAAACCGTAAAGCCTTTATTTATAACATAACTTTTCAATGATCATGACACTGTTTTTTTATTAATAACTAACTTCTACCCGGCGCGTTGCTGCCGCAGAGGAAATAATTGTGGAATATTGTTTTAAATTTGGAATAGTTATATTGTTTAATTAGGAATGATAATACGTTCATTGAAATTGAATGATGTATTATAACTTATAAATAAATTTGTCGGTACGATACGCACGCCATCTACTGTAAGTTAATTGTACTGTGTCTATAACCTTCGCGCAAATGCAAGCAATAAGTCGACAGTTTTAATCTGATGAAAGTTATGGCAGCGCATAAAATACGAACAAACATTCATTTTAATTTTTATATATTAGATGTACAAAATTATTTTGACTAATTAAATAATACTTATAATAATGTACCATTTGAGTTATTAGACTTATACCGCTTATACATAATTTGAATTAACGTAATTGCTAATATGTTATAAATGACATAGTATTTACGTAAATTAAATTGATAAAAAATTTTGTTAATTATATTTTTGCATGTTTTCTGGTAAAATATGGCGGAATTTGTACTATATATTTGTCACCACATTCTGTATTACACATATTTTCAAAATAAAGGAATTCAATCATTCATTCAATTTGTGTGACAAATATCACCACAGTTCCAGCTAGTGACATCTATCGAGTGTATGCATATTAGCCTATTCAATAGTAACAATTACATGTATATGTACATTTAATTATAACGCGTTATAAAACTAGTATAAAATTATAAAAAAAGTTTGTCAGAAGTGGGATTCGAACCCACGCCCTCAGAGAGGACCAGAACGCCCGAAACCCATTTGGGCAAGGAAACCTTGAGTCTGGCGCCTTAGACCGCTCGGCCATCCTGACAATCAAATAAAGTTTCGAATTTATAGTCCACATTAAAGTACATTAAAGTAAGGAATTAACTTGAGTTTGATTAAGATCAGAAATTTATTCTGAGTTAAGATGTTATGATGAGTTCGAAAATGTTTTAATGTAGACATTTTGAGCGACATCTCTATTGTATTTCTATTTAAAGCAAAATGTCTTTATGAAAAATTGTAAACAAAATGTAGCAACCGGAGAAAATGTTTCAAACTGCTTAAAAAACCATGAACACTTGGACAAAATTCACTTAAAATCCTTACTTCAAGAATTAAACTTTTCTAACTTCCTCAAAATGCTCACTGGTATACGCAAAAAAAAAGTGCTCAATCTTATTAAGACCGATGTAGTTGACGTAGAAAAATTTGCTGAAAACAAATATCAAGGTTTTTTTGTAATTTTATATTATAGAATAAGAGTGACAAACAGAGGACACATTCCACCTGATGGTAAGTGGTAGCTGTTGGCAGCAGACGACTACATCTATCCTCGATTATGCATCAAAATGCAGTTGCGTTGCTACCCCTGAGGACTAAAGTGAAATGCCTCGTTTCCAGTAAAAAGGGTCTCCGGTTCTCTACATTCAACAAACGAAACACAACAGCATTAAGCTGCTATTTTGCGCTGGTATTCTGTATGAGCGTGGTCCTTTACACAGTCGAGCCGACCCATTAGTACTACATAATATAGCTGCAGCGTGACTCTACCACGTATAGAAATAACACGGTTATAACCGACCACCAACGGTCAAAAACAAGTCAGACTTCAATTTGCGCGTAATCATATCAACTGCACTATAGGCCAATGGAAGTCGGTTCTTTTTAGTGATATGAGAGTAATGAATTTATACGGTTTTGATGGATGCCGTAATGACATGCGACGGTCAGGTGAACGTTATACCCAGTGTTGCATAAGAGAAACTGTCAGTTATGGTGGGGGCATCACCGAGATCTTAGAAGACTGTCCTCTGACTCTGGTCCTCGAGCTGTACAAGGTTGACTGTACAGTTAGAAACTTCCTCGAGGAGAGTATGGGGTAGTGAAATACGATTCTCTTGAATAAAATTACTATTTACGGATTTTATCGCGTTTAATTACTTCAATTTATTTTTATTATTATCCCGACGTTTCGGGTGCTTTACTGTTTACAGAAACGTCGGGATAATAATAAAAATAAATTAAAGTAATTAAACGCGATAAAATCCGTAAATAGTAGTTTTAATCAATGGGTGCGTTTGGCAGAAAAAAGCGCTAGCAAGCGCTTGTAAGCAAAATGGCGATCGTAAGCGGTAAGCGCTGTCAAATCGTAAGTAGCTGTTTTCCTCCAGGACACGATGTTAGTTTTAACCGGGGAATCTAACCTAATTTAAATACATGTTTGTAAAGTATTCATATTAAAAACTTACCAATCATGAGTTTTTAATAGCATGTATATGTTTATTCATGTCATTATATTACTTAAAACTAATATTGCACAAAACAACTTATAAACTCTACTTCAAAACAAACAAATTAAATAAGCAAAATGGCGGATTGTGTCAGCGCTACTGAAGTAGCAATCGTGTCCTGGCCGAAAACTATTGTTACGCGCTAAAGTCGACGATACACTAGCGCCATCTAGTGTCAGGAACGAGAGCGAGGGGAGCTTTGCAGTGAATGACATCACAACCGACAGCGCCATCCGAAGAAACTAAGTTTCTAGAAAATCTATACTCGGACTCTCGATACCTTACGCGTGTTTGCTTGAACATTCTGGATATTTGCTAATTTAAATAAGTAGGCGCTGCAAGGTGCGAGGCAGGCAGAGTGAACTCGGCGACACAAGCGAAGCTTCGGAGTGGAATTAAGTGAATTAGTGTGTTTAAATTATTAGTGTTTTAACTCTAATTGTGTAAAGTAAATTAAAGTGTTAATTTAGGTAATTTTATCGGCAATTTTTATTGTCACGAACCTCAAGCTCGTAACAATTGGTGTCAGAAGTGGGATCAAATCATGCCGATTTTACCTAAGGAGGAAACGGAGGGTGTCCGTACCCGAAGTCAACGCCAGCAGGAGACGGACCAAAGAAGATTTGGTGGTGCAACGCCGCAGACGTTGGAGGGCCAGCCACCTGCTGAAGGCCCGTCGGTAGCTCCTACATCTGCAGCATCTGACTTAGGTGCTCTGATGGTGATGCTGCAGGAGCAGGCTCGCCGACAGGAGGAACAGGTCCGTCAGTTGAAAGAGCAGCTGCAGAGCGGACAGGAGGGACAGGCCCGCCGATTGGAAGAGCAGCTGCGGGACGGACAGGAGGAACAGGCCCGCCGACAGGAGGAACAGGCCCGTCGTTTAGAAGAGCAACTCCAACGCGATAAGGAAGAGCAGATGCTCCTCATGAAGGACCTTCACGCTATCTTCGGAAAAGAGATACGGGAGGTGAAGGATAAGGTTGCTCAACATGACAACCGCCTGTCGGAGGCCGAAACCCGAATCGACCAAGTAAACAATCGGGTTGACAACGTAATGGCTGACGTGAAGAAAACGCTGGACGACCTCAAACTTGGGGATGGAACAACAGCTCCCGTAGTAGCTACAACACCTTCGCTACGTGGATTCAAAGTGCCGCCGTTCGACGGGACCTCTTCCTGGTCGGCCTACAAAATCCAGTTCGAGGCCGTCATGGAGGCGAACGGCTGGAATAAAAGCCAAGCCATGACTGCACTCACCCTAGGCCTGCGTGACCAAGCCTTAACTGTGTTGGAAGCTCTCGGTAAGAAAGTGACCTATGAGCAGCTTCTTGAGGCCTTGGAAGCGAGATATGGCGACGCTCATCTGGAACACGTCTTTCGCGCACAGCTTAAAGATCGCGTGCAGCGCAGCAACGAGAACCTGCAGCAGTGGGCCCTTGAGGTGGAGAAGATGGTTCGAAAAGCATACCAGTCTGTACCTGCGCTCATTGAAGGGAACCTGGTTCAGACATTCATCGACGGCATCCGCGACCTTGAAGTCAGAGCTGCTGTGAGACTCGGGCACCACGACACGCTTAAGAACGCCTTGGCCCATGCACTGGAGGTGGAAGTCGTGCGGCAGGATCATCGTTCCCATCGCGTCAGGGAGATTGCAGCAGCTACAGTCCGTGACCGCAGCAAAGGATACAGCCCTAGGTGCTATGGCTGTGGGGAAAAGGGCCATCTTCGATCCAGCTGCCCTAAACGAACCGTGGAAAGGAGAGTTGATCGATCTCGAGAGGGTAGTGCAGCTAACGGCACTGCCTGGCGGCGACAGGATCATCGTTCACCTCACTCTAGGGAGGTTACAGCAGTTACGGTTCGCGACCACAATAAAAGATACAGCCCTAGGTGCTATGGCTGTGGGGAAAGGGGCCATCTTCGGTCCAGCTGCCCTAAGCACACCCTAGGAAGGGAAGGTGAACGGTCTCAGAAAGGAAGTGCGGCTAACAGCACCGCCCAGCAGCAGCAGGAATACGACTTTACTATCAGACACTGCAGCGGGAAATCTCACGGCAACGCAGATGCATTGTCAAGAAGACCTTGTCCTGAAGATTGTAACCATTGTAGTAGGCAAGAGAGTAAGGAGGTGGTATCCGTGAGGATGCTCAGGACGGACCACCTCAGCAACGAATGGAAGGACAACCTACGACATGCACA